AGATAGTTACCTACAAAGGGGTGTCCATAAGACTGTCACCTGATTTCTCAAAAGAAACCTTGCAGGCAAGAAGGGGCTGAGAAGAAGTTCAAAGTCATGAAAGGCAAGGACCTATATCCAAGGTGACTCTATCCAGCAAAGCTATCATTGAGAATGGAAGGGCAGATAAAGTGCTTCCCAGATAAGGTCAATTTAAAGGAGTTCATCATCATTAAACTCTTATGATATGAAATGTTAAAGGGACTCATCTAAGAAAAAGTAGTGTATCAAAAATACTAACAGTAAAATGACAACAAACTCACGACTGTCAACAACCTAACCTAAGAACCCCCCAAAAAACCAAAACCAAAAACTGAGCAAACAACTAGAACAGGAACAGAGTCACAGAAATAGAGATCACATGAAGGGTTATCAGTGGGGGTGGGAGTTGTGAGAGTGGGGCAAAAGGTACAAGGAATAAGATCATAAATGGTAGATACAAAATAAACAGGGGGAAGTTAAGAATAGTATGATAAATGGAGAAGCCAAAGAACTTATATGTATGACTCACGGTCATAAATGAAGGCGGGGGATTGATGGTGAGAGGTAGGGTACAGGGTGGAGGGGAATAAAGAGGAGAAAAAAATGAGACAATTGTAATAGCATAATGAATAAAATATATTTAAAAATAGGTGTGTTTAAGAGTTTTAGTTTTTATTTCTAATGTCATAAACATTGATAACTATGTCCCACACAAACAAAGCTCTTTGGGCACCCAGTAACATTCTACAGTATAAAAGAATCCTAAGACTGAGGCAGGATAGTAAGAAATTAGGAATTCCTTGCCATGTGGAATGGGGAAACTGAGAGAGCTGATTCAAACTGGCCTCATCCAGCACCCTGACTCACCTGCCTCTTTCTCCCTTGTATAATCTACTCACTCCCTTAAGAATTAGGCTCTCAGGACATAAGGTCTGATCAGCATCAAATATTCTCAGGAAAAAAGCATCAGCTCTATTGACCACAGATAAGGTTTTTGTTAAACTAGAGATGACATCTAAGCCTCAACTGTTTTAAATCCAGACCCAGAAAAACAGCAAACCAAGATTAAGCTAAGTCATGGCTGACATCAGGACTAGATGCAATGACCTGTGACCCCTTACCCTAGCACTGACCGATCAGTACGAACCATGACCCTGACCCTATATGCTCATTTTGATGAAACAGCATATTAAAGAATACACATGGAAAGCTGATGAGTACTCTCTTATAAAATTCCTGCCTTTAGAACAGATAAAAACCCTAAAGACAAAGGGCTCACGCTCTCTCTTTAGAGGACACCCCTGCCTTCTTCCTTCAGGTGTGTATATCTGCTTTCTCTTTCCTAAGCTCTAAGGGTCCCCACAAGACTTGCAACCAGGGGAGCAGCAAGCAGTGGCAGCTTGTCCCTGGCTAACCCCCTGAACCTGTCCCTAAGGGCCCTACTTTTGCTTCTGTAACTTTTTTCCTGAGCCCACACAGCCCAGCTGGCTCACTTCTTCTGTATCTGTCATTTTCTAAAAGGTCAAGTCAATTCACTGAGCAGCCCATTAGAACCTTCTCTTCAAGTGTACTTTCACTTTCATGCTAAATAAACTGCCTCTTGTGCTGGAGTTCTTGGTTCTGAATTCCTTCTTTGATAAACTCAAGAATCAAGGGCCAACATTGCTGGTAACAAGACCAGGAAGTCTGAGGACCACATTCTTAGATTGTCTCTTCTTGGACTCCATTAGGAGTTCTTCTTTGACAAACACCTTAAAATTTGATGTTTTTGAAAACAGCATACTAAAACCAACTAATCTTCTCATCTTAAACTGGGATTTCTTAATCTTGGGCCAGATTATTCTTTGTTGTGAGGACTGTCCTGTGCTTAGAAGTATCCTTGGCCAGTAACTATTAGATGACAGAAGTATCCTCTCACCCAAGTTGTGACAATCAAAAATGTCTCCTGACATTGTCAAATAAAACCTTCCTGGTTGAGAACTACTGTCCTAAATACTCTTCCTGAAAATTTCACCTAATAAGATTTTAATTCAACGTATAACATTCCAATTACTGCATACTTTGTGCCAGGCATAATTCTAAGCATCTGACAAGAATTAACTCATTTAAGTCTCACCACTCTATGACATCCTTCTGTATTCACACAGTTCATGGCACTTTACCATTAACCTCTGTGCTTCACCTTAACTGGTAACCTGGATGTCATTCTAGATTCTCCTTGGATTCTCTTCTTTATTCCTGAATCCAATCATTCAAATCCTAACAATTTTACTTTCTAATTAATCAAATATTTCTTTTTTCTCCATCTTCCAGTATTCCTGCCCTCATCAGAGCCCTAATCTTTCCTTAACACTACTGTAATTGTAACCAATTCCCATTTGGTATCCTTGTACTTAGTCCTCAAAATATCTTCTATATTGCTGCTGGAGTGATCTACCAAATGTACAAAGTTGGCCATGTTACTTTATGGCTTAAAGCTCTTTACTGACTGTTAATGAAGAATAAATTCCTGTTCCTTAGCATTGCCCCTTGGCCCTCGAAAATGTGACCCTTTCCAATCTAAGTCTTGTCTTTTGTATCCCAAGTCACACTTTATTCTCTAGCATTACTCTATTGTTTGTCATTATCTGAGCCTACTGTGCCACTTCATGCCTCTGATCCAGTGTCACGTTCTGGGATGCATTCTTGATACTACAATCTGTGCATGCCTATCATAGCACTTACTACTGATTTCTATAAGTGTGTTCCACAGAGGTTTGTAAAAAAAAAAAAAGCCATTGATGGTAGGTGCCTTGCTAAGTGCAAGCTCTCATATTTCTGTCTTCAGGGTCTGCTATGGCACTGTGCAAAGAATTCTTCAGATTGTTTTGAAAGCACTGGAGTAAAAGAATACATAGACACAAAACCCATTTGGATGGTGTTGGGGGTGTGGAATGAGAAGAATCAGGAAAACCTTTGTCCTAAGGTCATGATTGAACTGAATCTCTAAGGAAGGGGACACACGCAAGACAAGGATGATTAAAAAGCCATTCCAGATAGAAGAGAACAGGTATAAAGGGCTGTCTTTGAAAGTGACAAGACATAGCCTTAATAAAAAAGAAGGGCATATTTTATAACAAGGTTTTTAAAAAAATTTATCTTAGGAGATAATATTAGTGGGAATCTCAGGGTTTAGGTCCATGAGTTCAGGAAACAGTATATACTTATATGAGGATAATAAATTTAGCTCAAAAGCATTACTGAAAGTATAATTTGAACAATTATTTTTTAAATGTATATTGCCTTATAGTAGTTCACACTGAAACTCATTTTCAATCTTCTGCCTACCAGGTATAGCGTTGAATGACTTTCTCTAGTTTATTGCTGTTGACTTGGCATTTATTCACTTTAAAAAAACTGCCTTGTATGTCTACTTCACCACCTGGCTCATAAGTCATTTCCAAATGGAATTTTAGAAATGGAAGGGTCCTTAGAGATTACCTGCAACATCAGGCTAATGTTACAAGCAAGAAAATGGAAACACTGAGGTTGAGTGACTTGTCTAAGGTTCTATATTCTGAGGGCTTTCTACCATGTGCTCCCAGATCTTCCCTGCTGCTGTCTCTCCAGTGTGTGACCTGTTTTCAGCAAATTTAAATGACACACATCTTCTTTCAAACATGACAATTATTGGTTTCCACATGTTAATGTGCATATTTTGTGGGTTCTTTAAACAGACCTGGTTAACTACTTGGTGCTAAGTAGTTAATTTTGGTTAATTTTACTAGTTGGTTAATTTTACTACTATTTACAAACATTACCTTCCAAAGCCAAAGTCATTAAATAAAACCATGCACTCCCATGAAATGCTTAACTAATTGACCAAGTGAATACAATCTCATCAGTATGATTTAGATGTTTGCATACGTTCCTTTTCCATGTGGGTATCTAAAAACTAGACAGTCCCTGCTTGAGAGATTTAGTGTTCTATTGGCCAGCTGAGGTTGTACTAGGCTATCCATCAAAGGGGCTGCCAGCTCATACAGAAGGGAGTGGGGCCCTACTTAACCAGGTTTGTTCTAAGGGTAGGCCTTGTTCATTGGAAACCCAATCCACAGGCTGGCTAATCACGAAAATTGAGACCTGGTATAATGAAGTGAGCTGGTCTTACCAGACTCTTGCTTTGGGAATATGTTTCAAATGCAGAGAGAATCAATTTGTTACTAGGAGACACCAAATCTGAAAGAATGCAGACAGAAAAATCCACAGGTAAAGCTGAGGATCCAAAGTACACAAAAGATATAGAAAGCAAAGAATTAGAATAAGGGACTCAGCAAATAGAATGGGGCAGGAAGGGAAGTTGTGCGTTTTATTAGGGATGCTAAGAGTTTAGACTGTTATTCTCCTGCTGCTAAGATCCCAGTAGCTGGCTCCCCATCTGAATAGGCCACGATAAACGTTTCAGAGCCTGAAGTTTTCGTGAGACCTTTATTCCTTTACTACTACTTGTGTCTCCTCCTTCTAATTCTCCCACTCCCACCAATTATCCCAAGTAGACGGATTTGGTTCTTGGAATTAAAATGGCTAACACATGTAAGGGAAAAAAAGGAGAGGGCAGAGTGACCGAGCTTGTAGCTTGTGGACATGTGCTACTGACTGGCCACTCTGTGGACTCTTCCAATTTTGTAGAAAGTTCTACGTATGCAACGAACTGGTGCTAACTTTCACGTCCGTCCTTCCTATGGCAGAAACACACCAATAACCATACTCCCAGAGCACAAACCGCGGTATCAACTTGGGGGAGTGGGCGCATTTATCTTTGACACAATGAAGGCATTAATCCCTGGCCCTTCCCCGCGAAGTTCTAGAGGACCACGCTCGCCGGCTGGAGTCCACTTATTCAAGTTCGCGGGTGCGGGGACATGGACTCCCCGCACTCGGAGACATTCCCAGGCAGCCAGCACCCCGGACCTCCCGGCCCCCGCCGCCCGTCGGGTCACCTGTAATTGTAGGCGCTGAAATGCTTGCTCTCTCTCAGCATCGCCCGGTACAGATCTAACACTTGCGCGCGGCTGGAGGCTGCCATTTTGGAAAGGGAAAAAAAAATAATTGGGTCCTCTTCGCGGAGGTCCAGCGTTTAACCCAACCACAAAGTTTCAGCCTATGCAAAACCACGAACGAAATAACACGTAGCAGGGTTTCTTCTCGCTAGCATGTCAGGCTTTCAGCCTGGGTGAGCAGCCGACGCACCTCGGCCGCTGCAGATGACAACCCGCGTCGCTCGCGGCTTGGGGAGGCGGGCAAAAGCGGGCGCAGGCGAGTTTCGGGCAGCTAAGGGGGAGGTGCCCACGAGGAAGGCGGTCGTGCTCGCGTTTCCCTAAGGCTTTGGCTTGTAGCAGGGCTGGGAGCGGGCTGAGGGTGGGAAACAAGAGGGGCCCAGAGGGGACAGAGCTAGGCCGCGGACGTGGGACCTGGGGGCTGTTCCTGCACAGTGCCACTCTCCTCCGGAACGGAGGAGGTCGGAGAGTTGTGTACGGAGGAGTATTGAGGACGTGCAGCGGGTCTAAGGATGCCTTCGCCGGAACCGTACCGGGTCACGGGGAAGAGAGTTGAGTTTCTAAGCACAAGGCCAGTTGCACCAACGCAGGGCCTGAGGCCTCGTTGTCCGGGTAACTGAACGCTTGCCTTACGGAGTCCCTTCCTCTGGAAGCACTTGCCCCTCCCGCTGAGGTCACCTCGGCGCTGCCTGAGAAGCAGTTTGGGATTTCCAGGGTCCTTTTGCTAAGGTTGTTTCTCTGTCCGTGTACCCTGATTGGGGGCAACTCTCTGCACGTGGGCACTATGGCGTGGGGTGCAGAGTCCACAGGTCAGTGGTTCCTTGGCGCTCCGGCTCCGCTCAGGGCTACTGGATAGGGGGCCTCGGGGCAAGGACCACTTTACTGTCAAAATGGCAGCGCCCAGTGCGCATTGAACGGGGCACTGAGGTGGGGATAAGAATCTTCCTCTGGAGAGTAAGCGAGCGTACCGCGCTCCAGCTTTTAAACGACTCGGGTGTGCGCTTCCCAGGCGAGCGGTGGGTGAGTGCTGGTCTGGGTGCAGCGTGGGGTGCGACGTGGGCAGTTGGTGTGGTAGGCAGTTACTTTGCCATGGATTTTTTTCCCTTTATGGGCTATTTGTTCAGTTTTCGAAATTTTGCATTTCGCTCTTGAGCAGTTTAGAGTTTTATCTAAGAAATGTGTACGAAAGGTGGAGTGGTCTGGGCTTTAGGCTTGGGTGATTAATTGGGCAAACTTTAGGGATTCAAGCACTGTATCGCTGAACAAGTTTTCTCTTGAAGCTTTTCATGACTGATTTTTCTCCCGTGCCTGTTTTCTGAAGACGTAAAGTTTTCTGAACTATCATGTTACAAGGGTGGATAAAGTTGGTCGTTCTGGTCCTTGAACGTAGGACTGGGCGCAGGGAAGCTTGATCTAGTTCTTATTGCTGTATTTGCAAAGCACTTATTTCTGGAATCTTCCTATATGTAATCTATGTTAGGAAGAGCCACAATTTTCTGCTCCCAAATGCAGAAAGGAATAACTTAGTATGTAAGAAACAAATTTGCATTTACGTCTTCCTTAATCCAACCACTGAATTATGGTTTTGTTCCTCTGTTTAAGGTCATCTAGTTTTTAAATGACACTTGCTTTATATCAAAGAAACTTCGTAGTTTTCAGGAATTAAGGGCACGAAACACTTTTTGACCTTACCACACTTACTATATATACTTTTTATGTTACTCGTTAGAATGCAGTGGCATTTTTAAAAAGGCATGGAAAGGAAAATACTTTTACTGAAATCCTTTTAAACTTCCCATCTGATTTTTTAAAGGTGTCATACATTAGTGAGTTTCAAAGTAAGGTTTTTTACAGGGAAGCCAAGCTTCTGTCACTCTTGCAGGTTGATCAGGTCATGGGGCAAGTCTTATACCGTGGCATTACTTAAAGGCTTTAAGACCCAGGGAATCGCACGTTATTACAGATGTAACAGCTGGGAAAACTTCAACGTTGATGCAAGTTAAAAATAGAAAAAATTATCAAAGAAGAAAAAACATGAAAATTATTTTGCCTTGTTTAAAATTAGTGGGGATTATATTATTTTATTCTGTTTTGCTTTCATCTAGAAAATGAAGTTGGGATATTTATTATATAATAATCGTTTATGTGTAACTCAAGCAATTTAATCATTAATGTGTATAATTAGTGTGTCTAAATGACTTTAACTTTTTTGTAGTTGTATAAGACTTTCCAAAGAAATATGTAAAGTTTAGTTTTTTTTGGATAGCTTAATCACCTGTTGGTACAAGGTTAGGAATGTGATAGCTTCCCAGCTGACTGTTAGCCAGGTCCTCACAGAAAATACTTTCATTTTACTGGAAATGATTTACCATATGTTATATATCATTGCCTTGAAAGGTTAATAAAAATGATCACATTCTAAAGTCAAAGCTCTTCTTTTATACATCTTCATTGTAGAGATGACTATTTACAGTAATAATTGCTCTGAGGTTGAAAGTGGAATTGGGCCAGAAGCTGGATGGACCTTACTCTTATGTCTTTTAATAGTCATTTATTCTGGGCTGAGTATTCTCTCAGATAATAACCCATTTACTATTGTTTAAACCTCAAATTTAAATATTTTCTTAATATTCACCTATCCATAATTACGAAATATCTATAGTTTTCTCCCCTACCTATGTAAAATTACCCTATGTATTAATTACTCTGAGTATTACCCTATGTTAAAATTAAGATTGCTAATGAACATTTAATGCTTTCTGAAGAGAAATTTCTCTCACCATAATAAGCAAAATAAATGTAACAACAATTTGCTGTCTTTAGGCTTAAATATTAAAATGATATATAAAGAAAATCTTGTATAAACCAGCAACTTATTATACTATGATTTAGATATTATTCAACTCATAAATGGATCCAAGTTTTTGTTATACATAATTGTCATTTAATTTTATTGATTCTTTATTCTAGTAGAATATGAAGCTGGAAGAGACCTTGGACATCAACTCACTCAATTTTACAGATGAACAAACTAAAGTTCTTCCCTTTTTCATTCATTCGTTTATTCATTCACCATTTATTGAAACCTTCCTAAGTGCTATACATTATACAAGATGATTGAGTTACAATGATAGAAGTCTCCCTCTCCTTGCAGAAACCAATAGGAACCTAGATAAGCGGAGTAATAATTAATTTTTGACAGGTGCTATGATAGGGGTAATACAGGGTCCATAAAATAATGCCCCCGTTCTATTACAAATTAATAAGCATGTAATTCTGTAACATAACAATATTACACTCAAGCATGCCATATGACATTTCAGGTGAAATGTTCAAATTGCTGTCCATCTTGTGCAAGGCATTCGCATACCCTCCCAACCACACTCAAGCTTTACTTCAGCTGGATCCTGTATTTTCAAGTGTTAGGAGAGTACAGAGGAGGGACTTAAACTAGGATTTTGACCTACAGGAAAGCTTTCCATCATAGAAAGTATTTTCACAATGTATAGTAAGACCCAGGTGAAGAATGTATAGTAGTATGTTAGAGATTGTGTGCATTTATAGCATGGGGCATAAGGGAGCATGATCAATTAAGGGAATTTTAAGCAGTTGGATGTCTGGGGAGACCCAAGACAAGGTTAGCCCTGGACCTGCTTTATTTTAGTCATGTTTCCTGTTTTGGGGATATGTCATTTCATCTCATACATTGGCTAGATCACATGTGTCAGGCAGAACTTAACATCTGAATTACTGAAATATCTATTAGTTTTTCAGGTGGTGTTAGGCTTTTTTTTTTTTTTTTTTGGTAAGCTTTTGCTTCAAACCATATTTTTGAATTGTGTATTTGATGAGTATTAAAATTCTCTTTCTTTGCCTCCCTGTTCAATAGTAGTTGACTAGTCTGGTAGTTCAAGTCACTGTTCTTGTGGATACTTGAGTATATAAATCAAATGCTGATTCCATTTTCCAACAATTTGAATTGTTATAATTTAAATACAATTTGTATGTAATTAAAATATGCAATAGGAAGTACAAAGTCCTGCAAGGGATGTACTTGTGAAGTGTTTCGAGGTTTCAGAGTGTGAAGAGGTCACTTCATAGCTGATTCTTGGGCCACACCTCAGACCAACAAAGCATGGCTGAGGCCCAGCCTTTTGGAATTTTTATTTTTTAAATCCCCAGAGGATTGAATGAAGACAGGGTAGACCGAAAACAGTGATCTGTGGGAATTAGGGGGCTTTATGGAAGAGATAATGTTTATGTAGAACTTGAGAAGATTTAGGTTTGAGCTGGGCCTTGAAGGGAATTCCAGTACGTGGGTATGTGGATGTGGTGGTAAGATGGCTACTGCAGAAAGGTTTACCCTTGAAAGGGTAGAGAAGAGAGAGCCTGAATGAGGTCTAGGGAAAAATCTTAGCCTAGGGAATGTGGAAATGATTTATTTAGAGCAGGATGGCCACAAGGGTAAGTATAGTGAGATACACCTGGTAGATAGCAGCTGAGTTCTATTATGACCTCCGTGAGTCCTGTGGAGACCTGATGGGAAAGCTGTTATCTTCATTTAAGGGAAGGAAAACTGAGAGGTTAACTTATTTAGCTGGAGTTATACAGCTGGGAAGCAGTGAGTGGGGTAGGCATTGGCCCAGGAAGTGATCTGACTATGAAGCTATACTTTCATAGAAGGTCTTCAATGCCAGCCTAGGAATCTGAAGTTTATTAATTTTTTCTTGAATAAAATGGGTAAAATTTAGTCATACTTGAATTTTAATTTAGTTGGATTCTCACTTATTTTTAAAGCTAACTGGTTTGTATAGGAACTATTATAAATACTCAGAGACTCTTAAATGTTGATTTTTTATGCTAGGCTTTAGTCTTTTAAGATAAATTTATGTATTTTTTCTATAACATCTCTTTGAAAAGACTTAATGCCTTTTGTAGGTTGTCTGGTTGTGTGTGTGAGAGACATTACCTCTTGGGGGGATTTTCTGACGCTCAAATTTCTGTGGAAGCTCTTTAAATCTTAAGAAAATCTGTTCTCTGAGAAAGAATGCTTCATTGATTGGAGGATAAGGGTTCCCTTAGTCGTAGCTATAACTACAGTAAGATTGACAATTGATTTTTTTGTAAAATGTATCCAGTGTCTCTCTCTTCTAGAGGATTTTTCTTCTTAAAATTAATTCTTTGCCTTCTAACTCTGGCTAGCTAGCTCAGTAGATTGGAGTGTTGTCCCCATCTATAAAGGTTGCCGATTGACTCCTGTTCAGGGCACATACAGGAATCAACCAATGAATGCATAAATAAGTGAAACCACAAATTGATGTTTTTTTCTCTCTCTCTTGCTTCCTC